CAGCCGGCCCGCGCCCGGCCGGGGGCAGGGGGGAAGCAAAGCCTGTAATGCTGTAGGAATGAAAATACGGGTGGGTTTCGACTCGTAATGGACCGGCAATGACCAGCTTGACATCATAGCAACTGTATTACAAATAATTCAAAGCAATTAAGGCGCTGAATAAGTTGTGTTTTTCCTGTACAGCCTGCTTTCAGGGTGCAGGAGAGAACCTATTATTTAACCTGAGTGTCATAAAGACTCAGCTTCGGGTAGCTCTGGGTGCTTGGGCTGCCTTAGAAAGGATGATACAATCGCCTCGTGTGTATACCCTCTACATGTAAAATGCTGCTAGCCCTCAGCTGAATTGAGACCCTGGATGTAATAAATGTTTGGATTTACATTCACTTAAAAAGCAGAAAACTTTGGTCTTCTCTTCCCTGGGCTCTTTTCTTTCTCATCTTCTTCCATCTTTACACTTCCATTATCACAGGAATTACATATTTTGGACATTCTACATGAATAACGTTCAAGCGGCAAAGAACTTTTGTCAACTGATTGAACCAACTCTCGTACCCCTATAAATACTCACCAGCAGAACGATATCCTCAGATCCTGTCACTGTGTCTTAGTGAATAATGTTGTAAAGCTTCCTGATGGCTATGTGGGTGTATAGAGGAAAAGAGAGGGAACGAAGATAAAACTAGCATTAAATAACGTCATATACTCTAAATGTCTTCCTCCCTGAAGCTAGTTTCGAAATGCAGGTTTCCCAGCTGACTTTGGTAGCAAGATGATGTGGTCAAAGGAAGCACCCTTCCTATTGAACCTTCAAGTAAATCTTGAATGTTTTTGGTGTGATGCACAAAAGAACTGCATTAAAAAATGAAGGTGACTGATAAAAGAGGTTTTCTTAGAAACATAAAAGCTGGGCTGTCGTTATGAACACTTCCAGTGACACACAATAATAAAAATCTTATTCCCTCAGCTGGAGCAACCAGGGATAAATGTATGCATCTCAGTGCTTTCTAACAAGACCTTCCTACACGATGGCTGCTGCCCCAGTTAATGCGTCTCTTTTCAGCCTGTGGAGTAGCAAGTCTTTGTAGCCAGGACAGTGTCCTGTAAAACGTCATGTGAGTCTGTCTTGGACTTTGCTGCCCACCTTTGAAAAAGTTAAAAAATTCTTCAGGATATGTTAAATGTCTCCTTGATAAATGCTCAGCAACACTTTTTAAAACACGAGAAAGAGGGTTAGGGCAAAAGAAGGAAGCATCTCCAAAATATGTGAGGCTTGGCAGTTACCATGAAAAAAAATCATGAAGATGTGGGAGGCCAGAAAAGCACAGCAGGAACTCCTTTGCTGTGAAAATGTGCAGCATGTGTAACTTGCTAAATGCCTCCTTTCTGTGGCTTTAGTTCCATGCTACAACACCTATGAGGTTAATAAATTACGAGTGTTAAAGCATGCTGCTGCCAACACCAGTTTATTGAACAGCAAAAGGGAAATGAGACCCTGGATTTGGTGCTATTTGACATAATAACTCTGAGCAGTTATGATTAGTATCATAAAGAAGGATATTTTTTTATTTTATAGTATATAAATTGGCATCATTAAGTTAAAGCTGCCTTTTAAGAGAGTTTTCCTACTGTAAAAAGCAGGTCCCATACAGATGAAGTCATATGACATTCTCCTGGACTATACAAAACAGACTAAAATTGTGGATTATTGTCTTCTTGGTGCCTCGTTGTTGAGTTTTTTCTCACAAGAACAATTCATTAATATTAAATGTTGGATCCCAAATATTTTTACTGAATCAATATTTATAGTTTGTTCATTTTAGTATCTCACAGCTTGGACAAGACAGAAAAATATTTTCTCTCCTCCCACTTTAAAATGCTGTGGTTTCATGAATCCTGAAGTTCATAGTTCACGTTGCTTGTCTGAGCTTCAAAATACAGACCACTCATGTGCTTTGCATTTCACTGGTAGAAATGAAAGAGGTTTTCTATATACTTTTGTAGTTAAGACATTTTAAATGGCATTACTAAGTCAGGTTTTGGAAGTGGTTTCGTGTCTGAGAATAGGAAGTTTTCCACAGTGGACCTTAGGGTGAGTTTCCTTATCACAGGAATGCTGTATTATCATTCAGTTCAACCTTGAACAATTCAAGTTTGTTCTATGTTGCCTTAGTTTTTATTAAAAATAACAAAAAGTCAATGTCTGTGATAATGCGACAAAATCAAAATTCTATTGAAAATCTTAATATAGGTCCATATTTAAAATGTAAATCTTCAAAAACGGGCACTGTAATTGTGTGTGTTTATGTTCTCTGACAGACAACCTTGTGTCCTGTCTGCGGTTTATTCTTCAGCAAGTTTGTCGTCTTATCAGTGATGTGGTCGGCTATAAACATAGCCCTATTTCAATAGCCACTTGGTAACCTTGGCCTTGAAGAATGTTTTTTTTTCTCTGCTGTATGTAAGCCACTCATGTTATCTCCCGGTGGCTGTTTCAGAGCTGTTATTTTGTCCAGTGCAGGCAGGAGCTCTTAGGAGCTAAGTGATTCCCCATCGTGCCATCTTCAACAGCTTTGGCTGTAATTTCTGTAATTTCAGAAGATGGAAAGAGGGCCAGGATTATGTATAGTTACACTGAACCCTGAATAGCAATAGCCTCTCTTCTTCCTATCTTGGAAATGTGTAGAGAAAGTTTAATTATTTACAATGCCAGGTTTGAATATGCAACCTTTGGGGAAGCATGGGTCCAAAATCCATCAGGATTGACACCAGGTGCTGCTCAGTAGCAAGGGCAGAGGTTAATTTTGGTTTTGCTGTTCAGGAGCTCCACATTCATTGCTGTCCGGCAGCTTACTGTTCATCCTGGGGAGACTCACTTGGTGAAATGCCTTCCTTTCCATGCTCTCTAACATTATCATTCTTGTTGGCTATTAGTAGTAGTCCAGGAATTAGTAAACAGAGAAAAAAAGCAGAGCAAGCGTGTGGGGTTAGTATAGCCGTTAGTTATGGTAGTTATTTTTGTTGCTTCTATTACTGTGCAGAAATGCTAAAATCTCCCAGCTAGTGTTTGGGTCTGGGTGCCGTGAAAGGGCTCAGTGTTCAGCTGACAGCGTGAGGCAGGCTCTGCCCCAAATCTGTTGTTACCGTCTCGATGTGAGGCTCCCTCCTGCCCTCCCTCTTTCTCCTCCAGTGTGTGTCTGCCTGTGTAAGGGAGGCACCTCAGCAAGGAGGAGCAACCCTCTTTCTCTGCAGAATATAAACTAGCGTTTGATAGCTGTAAAAGTTAAGAGAAAAGGATGCTTTTTCTGTATCCCAGGGTTTCCTATAGGGATGCAA